TCAGCTTGCCCTCCGCTTTAAAGACGCTCGGTCTGATCCCCGGAATTATCGCGATCCTCGGATTCGGTGGTCTGACGACCTATTGCGGTTACATCCTTCTTCAGTTCTACAGAAGATATCCCATGGTCACGAATCTGGTAGACTGCGCGTTGTACGTCGGAGGCAAGCCATTCGAGTGCTTCCTTGGAATCGCTTTCGTTTTCAACCTCGTCCTTATCTGCGCTTCGGCAAACATCACTTTGTCGGTCGCACTCAACACGCTTTCGCGTCACGCCCTCTGCACGGTGGCTTTCTTGGCTTTCCCTCATATTCTTTGCTGGCTGCTCTGCATCCCACGAAAGCTCTCTTTTGCAGCCGCAGCTAGCTGGGTCTGCACAATTTCCATCGTAGCTGCAGTTCTGATCGTCATGATCGCGCTTGGTGTCGGTGGACCACAAGCTCCGCCAGGTTTCGAGGCCAAGATAGTTCTGGTCGGAAAGCCTAGCTTTGTCGAGGCTGTCAATGCTCTGCTCAATGTCGCTTTTGCTTTCGCGGGAAACCAAAGCTTCATCAGCGTTATGGCCGAGATGCGAGACCCATCCAAGGACTTCGCCCCTGCTCTTTTCATGCAGAAGTCCTTCGAGGTCGTAATCTACATCGTGGTCGCCTGTGTCATCTACGGCCTCGCAGGCGATGCAGTAACATCTCCTGCGCTTGGTTCTGCGCCAGAGTTGACAGCTAAGATTGCCTACGGCATTCTTATCCCTTCCGTGCTGGGAACTGGCCTGATAATCGGTATTACTGCCATCAAGTTTATGGTACGATCTCTTCTCCCGCGAGAAAGAAGACAAAGCTAACGTCAATATAGTACATCACTCTCATGCGTAACATGAAGCCCGAGGCGGTCAACGTACACAACGCCTTCACCTGGTCCCTTTGGATCGGCCTCGGTGCCCTCTTCTGGATCGTCTCCTTCGTCATCTCCAACGCGATACCCATATTCTCGTCCATCCTCAACATTTCGTCCGCCATCTTCATCTCGTGGTTCACCTTTGGGCTCACGAGCATTTTCTGGCTACATCTGAACTGGAAGACACAATGGAGTTCACCACGGAAGAAGGCGGTAGCCGCTGTCAACTACGGCATCATGATGGTGACGTTGTTCCTCATGATAGGAGGACTGTACACATCATTGAAGGCGCTTATTGACATCTATAATGATCCCAACAGCACTTTGAACGGACCGTTCACTTGCGCGGATAATAGTATATTCTAGATGATATCACGTAGTCGAAACGATAGTCTATCACTTCACGCCCACGTCCTTGCTACACACGATCAACGGCGAGTTCTCACCGGCCTGATTCCATATGTAATGGAGTTTGATTCAAGAAACCTCTTTGTGATGGACGCCGCTTCGAAAGAAGTACCGGCCACTTGCAGAGCGGAGGCATTTGCGGTTGTAACTCCAGGCCCTACCCCAGAACGATTAGGCTGGTGGAGCCCTCACCTGTTAGTATGCGTGTGCTGTCTAAAACCACTGATGCCTAGCTCAATCACATCGCCGCATGCATACCTGCCTAGGTCAAGTACCGCGGATGGCAGACCGAATGGAGTTGTCGCGGCGACAAAATTCTCGCAACCCGAAATGAAGAGAAAGGACTAAGACAGTTCTGGTGAGGCCGATTCTGTGTGAATCGCGATGCGCACCACAATTACCAATACTACCGAGTAAGGAACCTTGGCGATAGGACAGAAAGCTGAGTCGGTAGAAGAGCCTCATGGAGCGGATGCCTGTTCCGATGGTAGAATGCCGTAGTGTCTCCGATGGAATTGCCGAAGGCATTTGTAGACCTTTTGTCTTGTGTATGCATAGCAGTACTTACTGCGCATTTAGTACGTGCATCTCCACTCAATGCCATGAGAGTATCTCAACGATCCCGTGTATTGTGTTCCGTGATCAAAGTGGGAAGGAGAGGATTTCTGGGGGCCAAAACACCGGGGTTAGCCTGAGCCCCAGACTCAGAAATGCCGTTGGGGTGTGCCTTTCCTGCACCCCACAGCATCGCCCAGATTGCCACGCTAAGAGGCATCTGGAGGTCTGCGGGTAAACATCGGGTCGCAGCTGTCCAATAGCAAACCTGATCGTGCGTGCTTCTCCACCTCCCGAGAAAACCAACGAGCGTCACGATGTCATGATCCCCGCAAAACTCCATCCTCGGTTCGGACCATTTTCATTTTTGGCGTTAGATACCGTCATACCCCGGATTCAAGGACGGGGCGGCAGATGTCTAGTCGCGCTGGACGACACGAACTTTATCCCCCGAGACGAGGCCACCGAGCGACAGCGAGCTAAGGCTTGTCACTATAAAGCATGGCTGAGGTTACCGATTGCTTGGGCTTGATCCCATCTGTCATCGCTTGTCAAGATGTTGCGCAACTCTCTAGCGGCCGCGCTGTTCCTCGGCCTAGCAGCTTCCGAAGCTGCTACGCCCACCGCTCAGACGAAGAACGGAACATACGTCGGCACACACTCTGCCGAGTATGATCAAGACTTCTTCTTGGGCATTCCGTATGCCCAACCGCCTGTTGGGAGTCTTCGCTTCAGGAACCCTGTCAGCCTCAATGCTTCTTGGGATGAGGCAAAGCCGGCGACGCAGTACTCTACTGAGGTACATATCTTTGTCTGACGTATAAGACATGGCTGACATACCTTGCAGTGCTACGGATATGGGTCTGATCAATGGAACTACCCGGTAAGTTTCGAACAAACCAGAGAGCCAGTTCGCATGCACTGACCTGGTTTCGTCATGTTAGATATCGGAAGACTGCTTGTACCTGAACGTTATCCGCCCAGCAGGATGCAGTGCGGAGGAAAAGCTTCCAGTCGCATTCTGGATCCATGGAGGCGGTTTCTTCCAAGGAGGAGGTATCGATCAGCGCTACAACATGTCCTTCACCGTGGAGAACGCCCAAAAGATTGGAAAGCCCATCATTGGTGTTACCATCAACTACCGACTATCTGCCTGGGGTTTCCTGAGTGGAAGTGAAGAAGTCAGGGACACTGGCAACCTCAATCTCGGCCTGAGGGATCAACGCCTGGCACTGCAATGGGTACAGGAGAACATTGAAGCTTTTGGAGGTAAGTTTTTCTATTGAAACACTTGGAGCCCACGAATTGACAGGAGACAGGTGACCCAGAGAAAGTTACAATATACGGCGAGAGCGCTGGTGGAGCGTCCGTTGGCTTCCACTTGACAGCCTACAGTGGACGTGATGACAAGCTCTTCCGTGGTGCTATCCTGCAGAGTGGTAACCCTGTTAACTTCGGCCGTCTTCCCGACCCAGCAGTAGGATACGCCGACATGTACAACGAGCTCACTCGCCGAACAAACTGTGCAAACACCACCAGCCCACTCGAATGTCTCCGCCAGCTGCCCGCAGAGCAGCTCAACACTGCACTCAACACGACAACCCCGACTTTCAACATCACGAACTTCATGCCTTGTCTGGATGGTGACTTCATCCAGAAGCGCACTTCGCTCCAGCTCAACACAGGCGAATTCGTTCATGTCCCAATCATTTCGGGTGCCAACTCGGATGAGGGCTCGGCCTTCAGCCCTGCGCCTGTGAACTCCACCGAGGGTCTTCGTACCTTCATCATGGCAGACGGAGTTCCTGCCAACTTGACAGAGCAACTGCTTGCAGCGTACCCTAACGATCCTTCGGTCAACGTGATTCAAAGCTTGGGTAACCTCACGCTGGGCCCTGAATGGGGACCGGAGTATCGCCGCTCAGCGTCCTACTTTGGTGATCAGGTCTTCATCGCCAACCGCAGGTTGACCTGCGAGACATGGGCTGCTGCCAACGTTTCTGCATACTGCTACCGTTTCAACGCCATCCCGGCTGGCCTTCCCGCCGCAGTCGGTGTCACGCATTTCCAGGAGGTTTCCTTCGTGTTCCTCAACCTACAGGGTGTCGGCTACCTGCCTGCTGCCGCTCCTCCGTTCGAGAACAAGACGGAGAGCTACAGCGATCTTTCCAGGTTCATGAACAGCAACTGGGTCAGCTTCATCCACGACCTTGACCCCAACGCATGGAGGGAGACGTACGACTACAACGGAACAGAAGCCATTTGGGCTCCGTACGACAACGCCAACCCAATGGACATGGTCTTCGACGCCAATGTCACGAGTTACTTGGAGCCGGACACATACAGGAAAGAGGGTATGGCACTGATCAATGCCCATAACTATGATGTATATGGTCGATGAGCAGCCACAGGCTGTAGTATATAGCGACTACCGTACATAACTGCACATAATCACACCGAATCAAGAAACCGTCTAATTATTTCTCGCTCCTTCTGAATCTGTCTGTCGTATGCTCACATAGAATAGCGAGGCATCTTGACGTGAAAGCCATTTGGTCGCCTACACCGACGCACACGCGTTACTGTGATCTTATACGAAGGAAGCGTTGGATGTCTCGCCTGACGCCCTATAAGGAGTTAGTACCATGTCAAGCCCTCAGCCTTGGCTATAGAGCTGAAAGTTGATCAACGTAAGCTGACCTGAGACGAACGAAAGCTGCTTCGCCTGCGCCACGGCCCGTTAGGCCTCCCGACTCCTAAGGCAGGCAACGTGCGAATCCCGCTCAGCCATCATATTCCCAGGCAGAGACGAAGCTCCAAGCCATAACCCTCCGAAAAGTGGAGCAGGGATGTCTGCGACTTACGCCCCGCGTCGCAAGACGGTCCATAATGGGCATACGCGACTCGACATGCGACTCCTGATTTAGAATTGCAAGCAGTGCGTACAGATACAGGCGATGATGGAGGAGTATCATTATGGCAGTGCAAGCCACCAACTCGATTATCTGCGCATCTCGAGTAGTACATATATGAGTAGATGGATGTGTCATTCAAGGCATGCTCATCTGAAACTCTTTCTTGAACTTTACAACCATTCGATAAGACAAATCTACCTTTACATCGGCTCCTGCATACCAAAACGATAACAATGGGCGACACCGAACTCTGCATTGATGTCTCGCCTGAGTGTCCAGTTGAGGCGACCATCTACGGTTACACACCGGACCTTGCCGCCAATACTTTTTTCGCGGGTTTCTTCGGGCTCGCCCTCATCACTCAGCTCTACTTTGGTATCCGCCACAAGACATGGACGTACATGATCGGCGTTGGACTGGGCTGTTTGGCAGAATGCCTTGGGTACATTGGCAGGATTATGCTCAATAGAAATCCTTGGGACAATACTGGATTCATTATTCAGATTGTCATGCGTAAGCAGTTCTGCACTTTGGCTTGGGAAGAACCTGTTGCTAACAGTTGGGGTAGTCATCTTTGCGCCTGCCTTCTTGGCTGCTGGTATCTATTTGACACTTAAGCATGTGGTCATCCAATTTGGCGAGGAGTGGAGCAGAGTCCGACCGAATTGGTACACGTATATCTTCATCGCTTGCGACATCTCTTCGTTGGTCATGCAGAGTGCGGGTGGAGCGCTGGCGGCCACGGCAGACCCAGGCGAGAGCATTGGAGACGTTGGGACGGACCTCATGATTGCAGGTATTATCTGGCAGGTTGTTGGTAAGTTTGACCTCGCATGCTTTACCTTGAAAATAATCTGACAACCGAATAGTACTGGTGATATTCGGTCTCCTCGTACTGGAGTACAGTATCCGCACCTACCACCGTCGCGATCAGCTCTCTGCTTCGGCGCTCAGGCTCTGGTCAAACCGACGCTTCCGATTCTTCTGCGGCGCTGTTGTAGTCGCATACACCGCTATATTCGTTCGATGCGTGTATCGCATTCCTGAACTGCTCGGAGGCTGGGGAGGTGAACTCATGCGTAACGAGATTGAGTTCATCATACTAGAGGGCGTGATGATTGCGATTACGGTGGCGGCGCAAACAGTATTCCACCCGGGACTGTGCTTCCCTGCGCTGGGCAATACCATGGGCAAGCAGAAGTATGTCAAGGCCGGGAAATCGGAGTCGGAAATTGAGATGATGACGCCGGGCGAGACGGCATCTAGGAGGGATATATCGTACGAGGCTTCTAGAGCATAGTCTGGCACTGGAAGAGGGGAGACGATGACAGTTGTATAGTCGAACGTCAAGATAGAGTCATGTTAGAATCCGGCGCAAACCATATAGGCAAATATCACAATTTGATAGGAATATATGAATGCTTTAGATGGTGTAGGAGCCAGGGCGACCAGTGATGCAATGCGCTTTCTTACTCGCGCTAGCGTCGAGCTAGGCCAGAACCGCGGCCTCTCACGAATTGATTGTCAACTTGCAGCATGCTATCTACTTGCTCCACAAACATAATCGCGTCATTCTTAGCTACGTAGCTACAGTCGCGGGACTAGCTAGAGCAGGATGAACCCGCCCAACCCACCGAACGACGAATCTAGCGCTGGCAATGGCGCGCCAACTGCGATCGGCGGCGCAGCCACTACGTCCGCACCTCCGCATCCACATGCAGAACCGCAGTCGACAGCACCCACTGCATGGTCGTCGCAAATGTCTACCTTTTCTACGACCAGCAGCGCCGCTGGAGGCCCAAACTTCGGCCAGTACTCGGCATCTACGGCAGCGATTCTCGAACGCATCCAAGGGAAGAACGGCCATGCCGCCGGCAGTGCTGCCTTTGAGGCGAAGCGGGCAGAGATCTTGCAGAGTTACGTGACTAGCGACAAACTGCCGACGCCCCCGCCAGCAGCGAGTACGGGGCGTAGAGGAAGAGGGGGACGAGTTAGCACAGCAAGTGGACTGAAGACGGAAGTCGGCGCATCACCGTCGGGCCCTTCCTCTGGTCGCGGCTCTGGTAGAGGGCGAGGAAGGGGACGCGGTCGCGGTCGCGGAGGACGTGGAGGCAGAGGCGGCAAGCGGAAGCGATCTGAGAGCGACGAGGAGAGCAATGTCAGTCGTTGCAGAGTGCTTGGGGACTGGGTGCTGACGTGATGTAGAACGACAACGACGACTCGGACGTCTCAGACTCGTACACCCCACTACCCACGCAAACAAAGTCCGGCCGAAGCGTCAACAAGCCCGTCACATTCGTACCCGTCATTCCAGAGCCAGCCAAGGGGGTGAAGCGGAGGAAGTCTACCAAGACCCTACTTGCTGCGAAATGCAAGACCTGTCACAGAGAGACCGACCCGTCGAACAACCGGATAGTATTTTGTGATGCGTGTAGTACCGCGTATCACCAATACTGCCACAACCCGCCCATTGACAACGAGGTCGTCACAGTGCTGGAGAAGGAGTGGCTGTGTGGTCCATGTATACGGGCCAAGCAGTCTGTCGTAGACGGCGCACAGGATCTGGTCGCTGCGGAGGACCTGACTATAGATGAGGTAGGTCTACGCGATCGCCCAAAACGGGCATCTTTGCCAGGACTTGGTATACTAACTCCAGCAGAAACGCGCATACTTCAATACCCTCCCACAAAACCAGCTAGTTGGCCTCCTCCTGACTGCTACGATCCGACATCCAGAACTACCCATATTTCCTCCGAACGTAAAGAGCCTGATACCCGAGACCTCAGCCATCAAGTCAGAAACGCCGCAACAACAGCCCTTATCCACTCAACACTACACCAGCTACCAACCCCCACCATCTTTTAATCTTGGTCAGATATCCTCGACTCCAAACGGCCGCACAACCACAAGCCACACACCGCAGTTCTCATCACATTCTCATTCCGAGATGGACGCTGCAGAAGCACAACTTCTCGGCGAGAGCAGCCACCAGCCGCGCACAACGATAGATCTGGCAGGCAACCAGTACGAAGAAGACGACGGCTACGACACCGACCCACCCGCACACTACCCCAAAGCTGGCAACGGTCTCGCACGAACACTACGGCCAGAGAGCGAAGATCTTAATTGGCTTGTCGACGACAACTTTGAGGTGTTCAGCCATAGTTACCAGGGAGACGGGACAGGGCTAGGCGCTGATGGCACACTGGATGGTATGGGAGATGGACAGAAAGTAGTTTAGGATGCTGCTGGAGAAGCATCTGCTAAGGAAACCGGTGACGATGAGCTGTCAGATATGGATAGCGAGGACGTGGAGCGCTTGGTCGCTTTCACCAAGGGCAAAGAGCAACCTTCACTAAGGGACCTCTTGACGCAGCGAAAGTGAAGCTCGAGAAGCATGCATACAATAATACAAGTTAGCGTTATGGTCAGTCACCCTGCAATTGAATAGTTCAGGCGAAGGAAAGTTCCTTGTATTATCCAGGAAAATTAAATAGAAAGCGTGGTATCTCGAGAAGTATAGCTAAGCAAGAACCGGGCCCAAAACGGCCATATTAATCCAAACGCCAACCCGTGCATAACCTCGTTACGAAGCCATTAACGTCGTCACTCATTCATCGTCGATGCCGTATCCCCCCAACGTGCTTTCAGGATCTTGCCACTTCTTGCTCTTCAGAATCCTCATCTTCTTTATTGGACTCGCTGATCGCTGCATCGTCTCGCGCTCACTGGCCTCTAACCTGGCCCGCAGCATCTCGTTTTCTCGCTCCAGTTCGTCGACCCTGTCGCGGAGTTCTGGGTCTGGGTCTTCGTACACCTTGATCTCTTGCTTCATCTGTGCCTTGGTCGCTCGGATGACGACGTCGATCTTGGAGTCGATGTGTGCTTGCTGGTTGTCTTGTTCGTTGTCCAGTGCCGTCTGCCATCTTCGGCGTTCTTGCTCGACAGCAGCTTCCATCTCGAGATAGCATTCGTCGCGGATCTCTTGCTCGAGGTCTACCATGTGGTCTTCGGCTGCGGCCCAGGAAGATTCAGCTGCTTTCCTGCGAGCTGTCTCCTCGGTGAGGCGCAGAGCGAAGATTTCGATTTCCGAGGTAAGGCGTGCGATTTCGGCGTTGGCATATTCAAGCTCTTCCATTACAACCGATGGCGTCGTGCGGCCTGAAGGGGTCGCGCGTCCCGAGGAGGCTGTACCAGGGCGCTTGAGTGGTACACCAATTGTGTCGGAGGTGGATGGCATTCGTGGCACGGTGACCTCGCGAGCGAGGGCGGAGTAGCGGAGAATCTGCGACGTGGCGTTGTAGTCGCCTTTGGGATCTGCCGTTACGACCATAATGGACTTTTGAGGCTGACGGTGCGATTGTGCTTGACGGGCGGAGGCAGGGAACGAATTCGAGAAGAGGAGCTCTGTGAGTTTGCACTGGCGGAAGGGCACAATGTTCTGAGAGCATGTTAGTTGAAGAAACGATGAGATGGGCGGGTACACGCACCTTTGAACCTCCTTGGTTGTCAGACTGCATCTGCATGCACTGACCCAGATACATGAGGGACTCGTTGATCTTGCCAGCTTCCGCAAGCGTCTCACCCGCGGTCTTAGCATTTCGGGCACGCTCTGAACCTGCCAGGTCGACGATGGTAAGGTTACTGCTGGACCATGGATCTTGGCGTTCTGCGTCTCTCTTCTTGATCTCAATGTGAAAAAAGCCATGACTCCGCGAGCTCACAGCATTGCTTCCAGTGCCAGTGACCTTGCGCTCCATGAGACCTGTTTCCAGCACCATCATAGCTTCCTCGAAGCTTCCGCATATGATCTTGGTGAGGCCAGCGACGACCTTTCGGTCTGGACTCTTCTCGGTGCTCTTGAAGAGGAGCGCCCTGCGCTTCACGTTTGGCTGTTTGTTCTTCAAGGCGTTTCCGCTCAACAGATCGAAGATGCGGTCGTTGTAGACTTCGTACATTGACATGACGATTGCGTATTCTGCGCTCGGGTCTGTAGGTATCTGGATATCGGCCACCGAGGGTGATTGTGGGAGTGTAGACGGACGTGGCATTTTGTTTGACTTGTATGTGCTTCCTGTGGAGAATATACTACAATCCTATTGTTCTGTTAGCATGCGTTCCTCAAGTTCTACATTCTCCAGTATCAAATGGGGTTGGACTTACTGCCACGGGGGTTTGCGCTCGTGAATAGCGTCCCGACTGGTTGTTGTCGCCATACATATTTTCGATGTATGCGGTCGCAGTGAACATTTGTGCTTCTGACACATCTGCATTTGCGAGTGAGGAGTACGCCGGGGCGCCATAGAGGGATTGTACGAGCTGCTCGTCGCATGCTTGGAAAATGACGTCCAGTGTCATCTGAACGAGGCCGCGCTGGGATTTGGTGCCAAGGATCGTGTGACTCTGTGAGCGCATTAACATGTGAGATACAGACTTGCAGACTTCGTTCAAGAGATGCATACCTTTCCAGAGCCAGTGCAACCCAGCGTTGCAAGAAGTCCATCTCGGCCGTGGTGGCCTGGTGCGCCCATGACACCTTCAATCATGGGAACCACACCAGTGCCCTTGAACAAATCCATTTGGCGCGCATCTTCTTCGAAGACTTGCGTGAAAGCGAACCGTTCAACAGCGCGCTTGCGTTTATCTTGCGTAGGCGGTTGTATCGTTATATGAGTTGGATGATGGTTCTCATTCTCTTCGACGCTGAGGAAGCGCGCACTTCCCGAGTGAGAAGGGCGCAGGCGCAGAAAGACATCGAACAACGAACTTGAGGGTCGTGGTGGCGGCTCCATTCTGACTATGTTTTGTTTCTGGTTTGGCGATGCAGGCAAAGTGTCAGTCGACGTTGGTGTACCAGATGCATGTGGAGCCGCTCGTGCACGCGCCCGTGTCGGTCAACATGGCCAGAACGCCGTTGCCCTGGACAACCGTCGCGTCGTCCATGACACGCTGTGACGTAACGCCATGCGATCGCGCGGGGATGCGGAGTACAAAGAAGCTCGCTCTTTAGTCTCGAACTACCATACTTTACAACATACTAGCTCACCAACCTAAAATAGTGTAAATTTATTTCCTCCAATATGGACAGCCTCCCAGCCGAAATACTTCTCTGTATCGCTGAGTGCAGTACCACCCTGCCAGAACTGCTCAAGTACAGACGCATCTCGCGCCGTTTCAAGCAAGTCGTCGACACCAAGTGCAAACCTCATGCTTTGTACCTGCTGCGCCGCAAATCCATTCCGATAGAAGTTGACGACGCACTACTTGCTATCCGCCTGAAGCGCATACCCTGGGAGTCATGCTGCCATTACGACCACGCACGAGGCGACTATTCTTTCTACCCTTCAAAAGACTTCTTCGAGGCCGTTCTGAATGAGACTGAAGTGCCGCCAGGCTGTCCCTCTATTCCAGCCGCAACTTGGTTGCAAGAGGTCGAGGCTGTCATGGACCTGTACCTGTTGGTGTTGGCCTATATGTCTACCGGCCAGCACTGTTCATTGAACATCCAACAGCATTACCTTGGGGGCTATTATCTTGAACAAATTGACTCGCCCTACGAATGGCCAAAGCCCCAGACAGAAGCCATGATCCGGTCGCACTTCCGCCTGTTTGTCTTCACAACTGTGTACGCACCACGTGTTTTTGTTGAGCCTCTTGCCAGCATTTCAGCTATAATGGACAACACTCCGATACCGGACGTCACTGCTATAACGGAACACCGGGTAGCTTTATTGATGGAAGAAATGGCGAAATACCCTGTGTTTCAGAAGTTGCAACTGCCCTTGGAGGAAAGAACAACACATCCGCTCCTTGATGGCTTTTTTGAGTGGCTATACGCCCAGCCCGAACCCCGCGAATTCCTAGTGCTCCCTGATGGCTTCCAGGATCCAGGTAGTGGCCACCCAGGCGACCGCTTAGTAAGGACTTTTCCAGGAGAAGAACGTCACCAGGTTGCCCTCATGCAGCTGTGGAAGATACACCAGATAATGGATGATCGAGAGTGTGGTAACGAACCAATACCTGAGTATCATGTTGCATCTCAATTCAACCCGATACAGCCAGGGCTCACTGACCCAGCTACCGCCTATCGCCGACCCCTTCAAATTTCGATTTGGTCTGAGCCCCAGCTTATCATCGAAAGTTGGACAGAAGACAACGCTTGCTCAGTGGTGCTAGAGGTTCCGGGAGAGACGCGTAACGATCACATCAAGAGATTCGTTCTACTGAAGATGAATTATTCGGGGGGATTCAATGCCTTTAGCAGGGTGTTTGAGACTGAACTCAAGAACAGATTTGGCTTGAGATATGTTCCTCAAGAGGTGACATCTCTAGATATTGACTATGGCGTGTTGGACCCGAGACCTGAATTGGAGGAATGGGAATAGGCTATGCAACGACTCCTCCGCTGCGTAAATTCGCCACTTCCTCTTTACTCATCCCCAATGTATCACCGAGTATCTCGTCCGTATGCTGGCCTAGTGTGGGTGGAGGTAGTCGTATGCCTGGAGTTGAGTCTGACCATTTCACGGGCGTGTTGACTAGTTTAATCGGTCCACATGCCGGGTGCTCTATCTCTTTGACCATGTCTCTTGCGAGGACTACTCCAGATTAGCATCGATAAGAAACACTTATTCCAGCAGGAATAATATACATACCGTGTTCGTGGTTCAATGTATCCTGCACATCGTTGATAGCGGCGTACGCTGGAATCGTTAGCTAAGAACCCCGAGGCATACAGCTGTTACTTACGCATTCCACTTCCCTCGAGCACGTCGAGCAATTCCTGTGTAGTCTTCTTCTTCGTCTCCGTCTCAATCAAATCCTCTAGCTCGTCCCTATGCTGCACCCTCAACGCGTTCGTTTTGAACCTCTCATCGAGAATCCATTCGGGCCTTTCCAACCTGTTGCACAAAACTCCATACAACCTATCGTTTCCACCTCCAAGCAAGATATCTCCATCCGCCGTCTTGAACGCCTTGTACGGTACAATCGATGGATGCGAAGTTCCCCAGCGTCCAGTGTCGCGTTTTCCGCTAATGAGAGTGGAGCTGGCAATATTGGCCAGGGTGGCAACTTGGCAGTCTGAAAGCGCGACGTCGATGTGTTGGCCCTTGGAGTTCGGGTTTCTGAGGCGCCGGAAGAGAGCTGCCATGATGGAGTTGGAGGTGTAAAGACCGGTTGTCAAATCGGTTACTGCTACACCGACCTTGACGGGTGGGCCATCGCGGGTTCCGGTGATGTGCATTAGGCCAAATTCGCTGGAAGATGTCAGTAATGAATATGATGATAGGAAGATGGGTCGGGAGATGTACGCTTCAACCATCACGTCGTAACCTGCTCTGTTTCTGTAGGGGCCTGTTTGGCCGTAACCTGTGATACTAGCGTAGATGATGCCGGGGTTGATCTTTGACACGGTATCGTAGTCCATGGCGTACTTTGCCAGAGAACCCGGGAGGTAGTTCTCGACAAGGACATCACATTCTTTAACCAGGCGATGCAAAATGTCTACACCAGCCGGGTGCTGGAAAGATAGGCCTATCGATCGCTTGTTCCGGTTGACCTATTCCTAGTGAGCCATAGAAGAGCCGCAACAACGGCATTATACTAACACCCAAGTAGTAAGCACTCTCTCCCGGTCCTTCTTGGTTGTCGGTGTACTTCGCGTAAGGTGGTCCCCATGCTCGTGTGTCGTCTGGGCAAATTAGCTGGGATGGAAAGCAGCTTCAAATACCTCTCTACTTACCTCCTCTTGTTGGATGTTCAATCTTGATCACGTCTGCTCTAACCCAATGTCAATTCCTGAGTCTTTAATCTCGCCAACCTCGGTTGGGCCGTACAGGGTCATCCATCGCATACCCAAGATCACCCAATATTTGTGTGCAATATGGCTACTGGAAGTCAGTCGAATTTCTCGCGACCTTATCATTCATGACTCACTCCCGCAAGTACTCTTGTCATGTCAAGCACTTTGATGCCGGCTAGAGGCAGGTTGGATGCATCTGCATTCGATGCCTCCGTTGCTAGCCGTCGAATGTGGCTGGGTCGTGCCCAATTGGACCGTGAACATGTCAACGTCGCCTGGAAAGCGCGTCTCGAGCTTCTCAGCAGCATGCTTGCCATTTGGATGTGGTGTATGCAGAATCACGACATGTGCCGGGTAACGGAATGCTTCCACGGCATACCTATTCCCGACGATGGGCTAGCTCCAGTTCGGTGATCCGAGGCTCATCGCTAGCTGCAGAACCCCACCAAGTTTCTCTCTCCAATTACCCACCCCACCATGTTTACTGGTCTTGTTGAAACCATTGGCAGTAAGCTACCATGCATTGTCTTTCCTGCGCGGCTCGGCTGACGATGGCTAGCTGTTGCCGCCCTTGAGAAGCTCGACCAGACGGCCTCGGGAGGCGGCGGCACATCGTTGACCATCTCCGGATGTGAGGACATACTGGGTGACGCCCATCTGGGCGACAGTATCAGCGTCAATGGTACGTTGGCACTACTATACTTCATCTCGTGGTCTAATCCAACCAGGCACCTGTCTCACCGTCACGGAATTCACCAAGTCATCGTTCAAGATCGGATGCGCTCCCGAAACCCTCCGACGGACAAACTTGGGGTCGCTGAAGGAGGGCTCCAATGTCAACCTAGAGCGCGCCGTCTCTGCCAACACACGCATGGGCGGTCACTTCGTGCAAGGACATGTCGACACCATCGCCACCATCGAGTCGGTAACACCGGACGGCAACGCCCTTACCTTCCGCTTCAAGCCTCGCGATACATCGGTCCTGCGATACATTGTCGAAAAGGGTTATGTCACAATCGACGGGGCTAGCTTGACGGTCACAAAGGTGCAGGATGGCCCTGAGGGCTGGTGGGAGGTCATGTTGATTGCCTACACGCAAGAGAAAGTCGTCACGGCAAGCAAGAAGCCGGGCGAGGACGTCAATGTCGAGGTGGACCAGGTCGGCAAGTACGTCGAGAAGAGCGTAGCTGGATACTTTGAAGGGTCATCGAATGGAGAATTCGCGATACTGGAGAAGATGGTTTCGAAGCTGGTGGACGAGAGGCTGAAGGCTCTTGGAAAGTGATGGACACATGCTGAACCATCGGCTGCTACGCGTACGCGCACGCGCAGGCAGGCTCTCAGCGCCAAGATTGAGGGTTTGCCGTCAATGCCGCAGAAGTCATGGCCCCACATTAGTAACCAACCAAAACAAATCATCCAACTTCACTTATATGGTTGCCTCGAAAGGGGCTCATGGGTGAGACTTGCAGCCCCATTGCGGTGGTGGCTTGGACAGAGTGAGGCGCAGCCTTGGTCTCGTCCAATACATATATATCTACATGTCTATCCCATCATTTCACAAGACACTTCCTACCATTCCACACCTACACATTAAAGGGCGAGCAGATTGATATTCATGATCTGAGGCTCGTCGTTGCAATGCTTGGTTCGAGTGTGGCGGCTCTCACATCGATCCCCTCATGGTTGACAGTTGTCAAGAGGCATATCATCGCACAATCCGGAGTGGCGGCGTCGAAGGTCTCCTCAACCGTTGAACAATCATTGCTTACATTGCAGGACTAGTCCATGCTATAGTGGAGAGAGTTAGGCAGAACACCATGCCGCGGCGCCGACATGCAGACCAACGATGTCATTAGGCCGAAAGCTCTGGACATCTCGATACTTTTTGTGCTGCGAGCCGGTACGATAGGAATGATCTTCCACTGACAGCGCAGACGTGCAGCTATCGGGGTGGCGTCTCCGCCTGTCCAGAACAGCATCTTGCCCAGCGGTGCAGCGCAATTGCATGCCGCAGGCTGGCCGACACTAACAGAATCTAACTCTAGAAGATTGGGGGCCAAACTGATTGCACAGAAAAATTGTGTGAAAGAGGAAGCGAAGACCGCGGGTTACATGCAGGCTTGGTAAGGGATTCTGTCGGCATAGGTCATTGGCGTTTCTCACCGGCGTGCTGCTGCATAAACACGTCAAGAGCCGACCCTCCTCAAGCGCGCATGCCACCAGACGTCTACCCCAGACGCTCATCTCGTAGCGCCATCGCTTGAGCGATTTCTCTTCCCTTTCCCCGCCGATTTCCAGGCGTCTAAAGCATGCATTGCTACTAAACCTTTGTCTTCGGCTATCTATCCCCGGTACGCACCTGTCATGGACTGGCGACTACTCGACTACGCCAAGGAAGCTGAGGAGACCGCAACGGGCCTACTCTCCTTCGAGAGTGAGATCCCCCAATATCGCAAAGACGTCAGAAGCCATATCGCAGAGTTGTTTGCCATATCGCACGCTCTACTCGAGCTGAACGAGGCGCTGGAGTCGTCCCGCTATGGCAGATATGCAGGCTTCATACGAACGGACCTGGAGGTTTGCCTCCCGAGCTTAGGACACACGCTTGACGATGTTCAAGAAATATTCACCAGGTCCAAGAAGAGCAGGCACGCTGCGCCCGGTGCTTTCCCCGGCACACCACCGTACGCACTCATCTGGGAAGATGCGCTTACGGATTTCACGGCGGAAGGCATGTCTTTACCCAAAAGATTCGAGATTGTTAGGACATATCTACAGTGCATGCACGACGCTCTGAAGGGGTATGTAACATTGGCGACATGTTCAACGGGATGGCTGACGGGTTCTAGAAACGAGGATGAGGCCGCATTGGCTAAATTCAAAGTCACGCTATCCAGGCTGCTCAAGAAACAAAAGCCAACGCCGATTGAATCTTACTTCAGTAAGCTCTCAGTGCATGGCAATGGGAAGAGTGGTGCTAGAACACCAAAACCGCCTTCCCCCAAAGTGTCTAGACCGAAGATACACCAACACCCCACGTATCCGGCAGCCCAGTACGGGTACCAGCCAGCCCCGCTACCGCTACCTCATCGATCTCATATTGCACCAACGTGGGGAGGCATAGGGGACATACCGTATATTCCTCCCCCAGTGCCAGAAATCCCTCAGTCGCCCACGTATTCGTCCGCATCATCACAGGCCTACTCGAACCAGTCGACGGATTCAGAGCCAGTCGCTCATTGGGCAATGAAGATCTTCGATGGACGACACGGCTCTACACCATCTCAAAGCCCCTCGGAGCCTACTGAGTGCTTCGGGAGAGATGAACCAAGAGTGATTGAGCTGTTAGACACCGATGGCTTTGAAAGGATTCTAGAACTGCCATTCGAAGCAACTGAGGTCTGGATAAGAATTTACTGGAGGGCCGACGACAACCGTGCACGAATACTCTTCCTTACTACGGATCACAATGGCAACCGTGTGAGGTACCAGGTTCCAATCACTGCATTAGCAGTACGGCGCGCAGGATCGTGCTTGCAGCTCTGTCGCATCAATCGCCAAGATGGTCAACTTGACCTGTGGGCTAGACTGCGCTTCCCTCTATACGAACGTAGGTACATTTGAGTCGCTCCTGCAAACACTCTCTAATGTTCTTTCAGGTATGGTACTTTTCTATTGTACCGCCATAGCTATGAAGCGCCAGGACCACACTCCCATTGCAGAGGGGCTCGAAGATGTTTTCCTGCCAGGAGAAAGGATTATGTTCGCAGGGTAAGTGATTGTCACTAATCTCTTGTTTCATGCTGACGCTACTCAGCGAGACCGTTGACGGCAAGTATCTCCACGTCTTCCGCGTCAAATACGATACGGACTCGGGCTGTGTACGGTTCGAAGCCACTGCTCGTCGCGGGCCTATGAAGGACATACCTATCTGGACGGCGTTCGTCACGCCATATGTCGGACGCGGTGACTGGATGAAGCGCGTCGGTCCAGAAACAATCCAGTTCGAGAAGCTGCATCCGTATGTCTTCAGTGATAGCTACAGGCTACCCAAAGGCCCTACGGGCAAGTACCGGTTGAGCTTTACTTCACCAGAAGGTATTTGAATTCCCATCACCTATACGTGTCCGATGCTGATACATAAGTTAGACGCGAAACAGTTCAAAGAAAACTTTTACCGCATGAGAGTCCGCTAGGCTTCCTGACGAGCTCAATAGAGCAATCCCGTTCGACCAAAATGTACGACACTCTCCTAATGTATGACGACATCACGCCCAAAATCTATTAACGACTTCACGACATAACGCAAACAAAACTCTCACGCCGTAACGACGAGGGCGGATTCTGCTTTTGGCACGATATACCCCTCTCACTACTTTCTCTGGTTGGATGTTGCAAATTGACACTATGCTGTTCTTGATGCTGTATTTGTCTTGAAGCCTTGGCCTTTATTTATCGCAAGTAGCATAATGGTAAAGAAAATTGGTTGCATGAACCTTGGGATCGACAGCAAAAAAAGTGAGCATCTTCGTGTCACGCCTCTTTGGGCCTAGCGTCCAAAGTCTCAGATGCCCCGCTTCCCACCGAGATTGCCCTGGTGAGACCCTGGACCGAGCGAGTCTGTGCTTGGTACTACCAAAACCAAAATTTCCCTATCCTACTTGGACCGGAGCAACGCCAGTCTCTCTTCCTCTACCTTCAACCGCTCACACCTCCTCTTCTCCTCACACTCTACTCTCAATATGGCGAACCAGCAAGAAGCCGGAAAGAAGGACCCCCTCACGGGCATGGCGCACTCTGAGGCGCATTACTTCAACAGGTAGGCATCATTGAGGGTCCAGACATGCGTAGAGTTTCGCTAACAGTATTGTGTAGCTACAACCACCATGGTCCGTACAAGTACACTCTGATGAGGTGAACGATACTAATGCGCGAATACAGGTATCCACGAGGAGATGCTGGTACGATTGCCCCTCCCTGCCTTTGACCTTTACTACGACGACTAACAACGCGCTTTAGAAAGATGAAGTCCGAACCAAGAGCTACCGCGACGCTATCTACCAGAACCCTCACCTGTTCAAGGACAAGGTCGTCCTCGATGTTGGATGCGGCACATCCATCCTGAGCATGTATGCGCTCCTCGCCCCTCTACATACCACACACGAGCACGCGCTGATATGCTGGTTATAGGTTCGCCGTAAAGGCCGGCGCAAAGCACGTCATTGGTGTTGACATGTCAACCATCATCGACAAGGCAAAGGAGATCGTCGAGGTCAACGGCATGTCGGACAAGATTACCCTGCTACAGGGCAAGATGGAGGAGGTTGTCCTACCCTTCGACAAGGTCGACATAATAATATCCGAGTGGATGGGCTACTTCCTGCTCTACGAGTCCATGTTGGACACCGTTCTCTACGCCCGCGACAAGTACCTGGTCAAGGACGGCTTGATCTTCCCCGACAAGGCTACTATCTTCATGGCTGGTATCGAGGATGGCGAGTACAAGGAGGAGAAGATTGGATGTAAGTACAGCAAAGCTCTGATTTGCTGCAACACTACTAACAGAACAGTCTGGGATAACGTCTGGGGCTTCGACTACTCTCCTCTCAAGGCCACCGCCATCACCGAGCCCCTCGTCGACACCGTCGACATCAAGGCCGTCGTCACCGACCCCTCCCCCGTCATCACCCTTGACCTTTACACCTGCACCGTCGCCGACCTCGCTTTCCGGTTACCGTACGAGCTCAAGGCGCGCCGCAGCGACTTCATCCACGCCGTCATCGCATGGTTCGACATCGAGTTCGCCGCCTGCCACAAGCCCATCCGCTTCTCCACCGGTCCCCACACCAAGTACACCCACTGGAAGCAGACAGTCTTCTACCTGAAGGATGTACTGACGGTCGAGGAGGGCGAGACCATCAGCGGCATACTAGAGAACAAGCCCAACGAGAAGAACCACCGCGATTTGGACATTAGCATCTCCTACAAGCTCGAGGCGAACGACATGCACAGGCAAGCATCAGGCGAGTCACAGTACAAGATGTGCTAGTTTGTTTCTTGCTTGTAGAGTGCGGTTTGGGACGGCGTCAACCACCGTTCGGGAAATGAGGCGCCTGTGTCTTCCATGATAGACTTTTTCGGCGTTTTATGGCAAGGGATTCGCATACCAAAAATTTAGGGTAGCATGAGCATGTGTGAACGAGTTACGAAGCAGGGACCAATCTATCATTGGGAATTCCTCCCCTACAAACAATATCTGTCGCCTCTGACTTTGAAACGTGATATATGCGCCAGGACTGGAACGTGCCAAAGCAAAGAATGTTAATCTGAATGTTCATTGATGAATGCTAAACGCCGTTGCCATGATGCTATGCTGCGCTCGCAAGCGGGGGTATATATGCAAAGTCTCAACCCCAAGATACTCCGCATCTAATTTCCAGCCAACGCGGCCGTAAAAGCAAGCTCCAATACTTCGTGAGAGATAGCCGACCAAGGTCGTGATATCTTGTAAAGTTTTCGCCATGTAAATGCAAAACCAATCGCCAACCTCTCAATACTCCCAAAATGAACCACGAACAATACTTCTAGTAGTCGTAGCTTTCGTTAGCAAATCCTTCATCATCGTCTTCCAAGTAGTTGTGCTCCAAATCTTCCTCTTCTTCCTCTACCTCTTCCATTTCCTCCTCCTCCTCCTCTTCTTCTTCGCCTTCCGCGTCGACATCTACAGGCTGCTGCACAACAGCTTGCGGGGTGGAGGCTGAACTAGCACCCTGACCGCTGGCAGATGGGCTCGCAGAAGGGTGACCGCCGGGGAACAACTCCTTGAGTCGGTCGTAGTTGATGTGGTTACTGAAAGCTTTGGCGCGCTTCTTGAGCATCTTATGGGCAGCGTCCGCCGCGCTAGCCGCAGGCTGGCCCTCAAGGACATTGCCATCGCCCATCTGGTGGTGTTTGCGCTTTTGTTTGGGTTTCTTAGGCTTGTCCTCTGCGGCCTCGAGTTCGGCCTGCAACATCTTGGTCTGTTGGTCGCGCAGCCATTGTTCATTCTCCGTGATCCAGATGGCTTCCTTGCGGCGGACTTCCTCGGGGTTGAGGATGCAGGTGGCAACGTCGGGGTCGTCGTTGAACTCGTCTTCACCAATCTCAGGATCTGTGTTTACGGGGACGGCATCGCGGGTGTCGGCGGCGACGCGGGCCATCTCTGCTGCTGTCCAGCCAGAACGCCTGAGTAGCTCGTGGTCTTCGCTGTTGGCAATTTCCTTGAAGATACCCTCCCAGTCCTTGATGGTATTTGTGACTTCGTCTTCAAGCTCGTGCTCAATTTCGAGATCCTCTTCGGCGATCACGACGGGCACTCGCGGCTTCTTTGGTGGTCGGCCACGCTTCTTAGGCATGACAAAGTCTGGGTCGATGGTCTCACCGGCCTCGACTTCCTCGACTGCACTAACAACAGACTCCAGGACCGCCTCCGTGTTGCCGTCAAGAGCCGCTAACTCCGAGGATGGATCGCTATTCTGTGTACCAGAAGCTTCCGTCTGGGTCGCAACTGGCTGAGATGAACCGTCATTTGACTTGCGCCTCTTGCTCGTGCGTTTTGGTGCGGTATCCGAACCTCCTTCTGCCTCGCTATCTCCCGACTGGTTCTCTGTAGTATCCGGGTCGCCACCCTCAATTGCTCGTTGCCTCCTCTTTTCCCTTCGCTCTTCCTTTTCTGCGCGCCTCCAAATGGCAGGAGGCTGAGCCTTGACCTTGAGACGGGGTCCGAACTCTCGGAACTGGTTGACCGTGAGAGCCGCGCTCTGTGTCCTCTTGTATTCGTATAGACGGGAGGTGATGGTGGAGTCGGCGACCTTGACAACGTAGACGACCTCTCGGATGGTCCGGCGGAAGTTGTTCATGCGGGCGGCTATGATGATACAGGCGCCGCACAACCCAGCCGGCTGACGACCTTGCACCATCCAGTCGCGGTTCATGCGCTTCAGGACCCTACAGGCGTCGTCGGCGACCCTGTGAGAATCCTCTCCAAACTCGAGCTTTCGACAGTACTTCAGCATCAACGGCTCGATCTCCTGAACGGCTTTTGTGCCCACGAGCTGTGCGGGGTCGTCCTCCTTCAACATCTCCAGAAACTGTTTGTACGTGTCTCCGAGCTGCCAGACGTTGGTCTGAATCTTCTCGGCCAGATCGATGAGCATGAGCGTGTTCTCGGGTTGTCTCCGTGCCGCCATGTAGATCGCGACAGCGGCAACGGTCCTCATGCGGCGACCCTGGATGAATCGGTGGTTCATGGCGAGCTTGTACCAGCTGTAAGCCTGTTCTACGACGGCCTCGCGCTGGTTGAGAGATGCGCCTAGAGCTACGATGGAGTTCTTGCCATTCATCGCAGCTTGGTCCCTGCTCCCCATGCCCTCCAGACCCCGCATAGTGCCGCCCATGGAATTCGCGTGACGCTGGTTGGCGTGGATGAAGCCACCCTCGACAATGGCTGCTCCGCCCGAAGTTTCGCCAAAAGTAACCTCGGAGACGATGTTGTTTTCGCCGTGGACAGCACCGCAGTTGTAGCACAAGACTTCATTGTCGGAAGTATCTATCTCGGGTTTCTCGCAGCAGGTGTATGTACGTTTCGCGGTTTTGGTGGCAGCCACCACGGGCGCCTTGCTTCGTTGCGTTGCTTTGGATTGATAGTGGTAGGGATCGCTCAGACCTTTGATCCGCGGTCCCCTTGCGACCTGAGCTGCCGACATATTGGGCGTGTGGGAACGTAGGGCGCGGGTGCGAACGAGCGTTGTGTCGGGTCGGTTGAGGAACGATCGAGAGTAAGAAAGTAAAGTCGGCAAGGCAGCACGAATGAGACGCGGTACCGCGGGAGGGGCACTAGCGATGACTGGCGCTAAGTGGGGTGAGCTTGACCGCTTTGGGAAGAGAGCTCTGCACCTCGAGCTGCGAACACATGGTCAACACCGTGACTATGAGAGCCTGCTGCCTTCAACGCTGTATCGGATCGCTAGCCGTCGAAGGGATCTCATATACAATTTTACATTAATGGAACAAATATGAGCTGTATTTGACGCATTCCTGTAGTTACAAATGACTAGACATAAAGGAGCACACTGCGTAGCTGTTCTTGTGTCCCTCCTATACCGTAGAGGCTGGTTGGATGCACAATGTTCACGATTATCTATCCTACAATTGCCGTTGCGAGGTATTTCTTTGCGACACTCTCGACGGATCTCTCATATCAACAGACATTGAGCGGTACCTGCAGCAAAGTAACATCAGCGCAACGCTTGTGTGCCCCCGTCCCGGTGCTCCCATGCGGGTGATGACCACATGGCCAATGATTGGCTAACCTGGACACACCCGAACAGCCCGAACTAAGCCATTGAGCAAAAGCCCGCAAGAGCCCTGGCTTCCCAGCCTCCTTGGTAGGGCCTGCGTAGGTCGTGTCTATTTCATCCGGGCGCCCGTCCCTGGGTCCCCGCTCGCAAGCTTCTCCATAGCTCTCAGCTCTCGCCCTACCCCAAAACACTACCTTGACCTACCAACCTTTGTCAAATTTCCCCAGCACGACACAATGTCCACAAGAAAAAGGAAGAATCAGGAGGAGGAGCTTGTCGCTCTCCCAAGTGATGAGAGCGAAGAGGAAGAAGAGTAAGTCGGCGCTTCCTTGACGTCATGGCCCTTGCACTTCGCGTCGCATGCATCCCCTCTTGAAGGCATCGCAATCGCCTTCCTTCTTCAAAGTGAATTAGGATCTTTGGGCTTGTTACCAAGTTCTACGAAAGTTTGACAGGCGCGGAGTCGCTGTTACGCCCGGGCTTTCGGGATGGAGAAACGGTTGACGCGACGGCGCTTCGCAACAATCCCCACAACGCTCTCAACTTGGATTCGCTCGGCGGTCACGTCTCTCCTTTGAGTGTCGAGGACTTCTGGGCTGCGCTTTACTTTCGATTATGGAACTTTCATCACAGTGCTAACACATGTCACGTAGATATGACGAGTCTGACGGATCAAACTTCAATTCAGACGACTCCGACGCCGAAGAGCCTCGTAAGCCAATACCTTCACCCAATATCATCGAACATAAGTTTCTCACACTCGATTGCAGCACCAAAGAAGAAGACCAAGCGCACCAAGCCCAAAGATGATGAGGATGATGAAGAGGAGGAGGAAGACGACGTGAGCGACGACGATGACGACGACGCCGCGGTGCCCGAGGAAGACGAGGAGGAGGATGAAGACGCCAACCCGAAAGGCAAGAAGCCAGCCGGTGCGGAGAAGGACCGGAAGGTCAAGACCACAGGCAAAGCTGACCCTGTACCTGTTGTCGATGATGACGACGATGACGAGTAGAGATGTAATGTCGAGGTGCCCATCATGTTAGTAGTGTTAGCTGATCAACGAGAATATACAAAGTATCAGTTGATAGTCTTGTTCTTGACTATCTTCAGTTGTTCTACTTAACTCGTGGTGGGCGGTAGTGCAAGCATGTCTGTATCCAGCCGATGCATCTCTCGACGAAGCTGTTCGAGGTGCCACACAAAAACCTCGACTCAGTCTAGAATTCAGCTGGCAGTGCCATTACAACAGGACTGCCCAGGTGTGCAACTTTGGGTGACCAGGCCGGATGAGTTCTAGTGTGATAGCCTTAGCGCGCCGCCTCTACGTACATATGTAGGTACCCAGACATTTCACGCGACTACCTCGTTCACCAGAGTTGGAAGTACTCTGCAGACTACGACGCTACCGCTGTCAGCCGCAACAACGTGAGAGAGCGCGCCGAACAACATCCTCCGTTACTTCCCAATTCTGGTCGCTCTTGCCTTCCAAAGTCTGTGGTGAACGCACTCCGCTCTTACTACGCGTGTTTCACCCGCTCGACACGCCTCACCTCCAACGACACCATGGCGCCGGCTTTGAATGATGCGACCAATTGTCTGGACGTCGACGATGCGCAAGATGGTTTTGAAGAGCTCCTGATCGCGTTCAACCCATATGTTGAGGAGCTACTTCACCAACCCGCATTCCACCCCTTCATGACTTTACCTGCTGTACGTGTTATCATCGTACCGGTTCTGACTGTGACATTAGCTGACGATTTTGACTAGGAGCTTCGATGCATGGTCTACGAGCAGTACTTCCTGGACGAAAAGCAATCGATAGCCTGTCAGGATTGGCCACACTTGCGATTTTCTGAGGACCATGAGCAGTCTATCCGACTTAAGAGGAAGCACTCACCGTTTCTGCCGTCTCTTTGTCTCACCAGTAAGAGCCTGCGAAGTGATCTGCTCTCTTGTTTATTGGAGGCAGCGCGTTTCGAGTTCGACGACTGTACAGCTCTCAGTAGGATCATGGTTTCACTGGAGACAAGATCCCTGCATCTCTATGTTCGAAAGGCGAAAACAAGGAACGTGAACGGGCAGCGAGGGATTGTATTCCTCAAAGACGAGCCCGGCGGAAGTGAAGAGGACGCCCGCGAGCTCACGCAAAGGTGCAATAAAGTCAACTCCTCCACGATCAAGCGCTTCTCACGACTTCGCGAGCTTAACGTCACACTTTACTCGCCATTGTTGTGTACGCCTGGGAGTGGCAATACAACGTTCTCCATCCGTCCAATTTCATTCGACATGTTCTTGCATGACTTCCAATTCCAAGGTATCCTGGGCTTGGAAGAGCTACAAAAGCTCACCATTACAAAGATCAGCGGCGCAGCCGGCACTTACGACACCCGCAAGCAGATGAAACTCAACAATGACGGCCTGGTCGAAGACGATAAGTCAAGCAATCTCACCGCTGTATTGGATTTCTGTCGACAGATCAAACATGGGTTCACTACTCAAGGACGCAACGTGGTAGTCAAAGCCTATCTTCAGTATGGCCAGGATGTATATGAGGAAAGGATCTTTCCTTGAATGATTGCGGAAGGAGACCGAGCCATGCAGACTGGGATGAGGCGAGCCGCCGTCGGACGTGGTCACAGAGGTAGATGCATAGGATGGCAATATGTGCAAAAAGGGCAGTTGGGACACGCGTGAAAGACACTGGTCCCACAAAGACGTTCCTGCATCAGGTACATTGTTGCATATCTGGGGCGTCTGAGAGCGTTTACCATTCTTCATGTACTCCGCTGATGTAGTCATTTGGTCGGTGGAGGTAGCTTTAGTCATAATGATATCGTTTTCACGATAACCCAGGCTTTGCCAAGATCCATGCGTGCTGAATACTAGGATACAGCACGTACACACCCAGCATCTCTGCCTAGGCATGATTTCATGCCGAAGAGCAGATATTGTGATCAACCACGACACGTGTGCGATGAATGAACGTGCTTTTTGTCTCAAATTTGACACCCTTGACATCGACGAGTGTACCAAGAGAAAATCGCAAGGTGTAGAACTCGCCTTCGACCTCTTCGCGGTTGATCTCGATTCCTTGTCCTGGCCTACACAGCACGCGCGGCTCGCGGAGATCATATCTGGCTAACCATAGGAGACCAGCACGACGCCGAAAGCGATCTACTACGTCGTCACGACGAGTGTTATCCCAAAAGAGATGCCCCTGAGAGTGTTGGCAAACATCGGAACTGCAGTGCAAGCAAAAGTACACACCAGGTCGGGATTGAGTAACCTGCTGAGAGCATGATGGACATATTTCGAGGTCCGAGCTGTATGCCTGAAGCTTGAAGTCATGCGTTACAGTGATGGCGTAAGTTTCTTGTTCTAGATGGGAGAAGTCAGGCCCTTTCACAATGCGAGCAACGATGGCGGCAGTGCAGAAGCACATCTCTTCTTTGCATGCATCCAGGACTTGCATGATGAGCTCGGTATCTGGACCATCATAGTCGACCCTGACCTTGTCGCCACCCTTACAAATCGCTAGCAAGGAGTAAATGCGGTCCCGTCGAAGTGTGCAACATTTTCCTTGGAACCATCGTAGGAGGTAGATCAATCCATGGGTGGCCTGCCGCCTTCCTTTCTGCAAGATCGAACAGCTGGGGCCATTCTCGAGGTAGTCGTCCTGTGACCAGTACAACAGATACGCATATTCCATGATAGAACTAAAATATAACTCCTTTGTCGAGTGCACACAGTAGTACGCGAGTGGCAGGAAGTCGATGACGTGTTCTCCAGCCATCACTACTTGCGCGTTTGCTAGCATCATTTCCTGTGCGACCCACGCCCTTTGCCAGTAGGCATTGTTTGCAATGAGATCGTAATGTTTCTTAATGAGTGAAGAGTCCGAGATCTCGGAGTCGTACGTATTCTCTTGACTGAGATCGTAAGCTGGGACGGAGCGACTGCTGGAGTCCGGCTCTGCGTTCTGAGAGCTGCTCCCCTGAGGTGAATCACCGTGCTTGCTGTGATAAAAATCCTCCCAAGTCTTCCAGGCCTGGCGGTCGAACTTCTGCCCCACCGCTCGAACGAATTCTTGCGTCTCGAAATTATTGCCTAGCCACGACACGACCAATCTCGCGCCAGCAAAGATGTCACCCATCTGCTGAACTTGATGGTTTCGTTCTTCGATATCGGCTTGATTTATGCACAACGCGTCTATCCACAATGTGCAAAATGTGAGACGCTGGCGTGCCGCTTGGAGGAAGTCGTAGAGGTTTTGGCGCACATAATGTAGCTTTCCATCGAGCTTGATAGGGAACTCGTCCCCTGGTTCGCCCCAGGTATATGAAAGACAGACATAGTTCGATTCTTGGACTAGCGCATTTTGTAGGTAGCAGTCGGGGAGGCCG